TTTTCCAAACCTAGAGCTTAGTTACACATCAATGATTTAATAGCGGGATTGTTCTTTTGATAAGCGGCATAGGAAATGTCACCTTTCTCTGTCTAGCTGGCAGACTTCATGGGAAAACAAAAATGTCTTGAAGTGCCAACCCTGTGGCTGAAAAGGACCACTTAAATTAAATTGCATGTCACCACTTGCTTTATGTTATCTCTGTACGCTTTATTTTGTTTGACAGGTACGCAGCACATATAGGCAAAACATTTTTAATACCGACCCATTTAATGAAAACGTTGGACCATACTAAACTGTTCTACTTCCCAGAAAGGTCCTGTGTCTTTTATTAGAAGCCCCTCAGAACATCAAATGCATCCGTCAATTAAGATCTACTGCTGGGGTTACATCTGAATCACAGGAAGTTAAAAAGTAGTCACTGTTGGAGGGTTAGTTTTACCATTTCTTTACATGCTGGGGAGACAGCATTTACTGATGTATAGTTTAAAAATGATGCTACTCTATCACTTACAAGACCAGAGAGATGCATCTTTGGAATGCTAATTAAAGAAAGAAGCAAACTAGAACAATTCAAATCTCAAAAGAATGAGTTTTGTGTTAGCTCTGTAGCTGTAGAATTCAGGCAAAGCCCGAGCAGTTTATTTGCAATTGTGTTAAGCAGCACATAGCTCCAAGGTACGTTGCGCTGACACTCAAGTGACAGGTACTTGTAGGACAAGGGCCCTGTGTGCTGTTTGTTCTTTTCCTTTTTAATAGCTACAGATGCAAATCATGCCTTCTAATCCTATGGAGTACTTTAAAGTGACTTGTATAGTTACAGTCACACTGGTAATTGTCTTCATAGCTTCTACCTGCCCTCAAAATCTCCCCACATGCTGATAGGATAAATGTAAAAACCGTATGGTAGTACACAGCAACAAGTTTTTCAGCTCTACAAGCCAATAACCTTTGCCCTTTGAGGGCTTGGTGTCTACGCCATTGCTCAAAAATAATGCCTGCCACCTTGCTGTTGGCTGCAGGCCGTCCCTACCTAATACTTAAAAAAAGTAAAAATCAAGCAAGCTAAAAGAAAACGCAAACTTTTAGATCAATCAAACATTCAATTAGAAAGTCCTGAATATTTCATGCAATCAGTGAGATTTACACCCTGAAAAATTATATGTTGTTTTCCACTTCACCATAATTTAAGAACAATGTTCAGTGGTCAGGATCGGAAAAGGGTCACACTTAAAAATCCTAAGAGTGTCTGACAGACTGCTGGAGTGAATTTCAGGCTTTGAACAGTGTGTGCCTATTTACTCTTTAAACAGTTTGGGGTTTTCTTAGAGGCCGAATAATAACTTCTACCCTATTCTTGACAAAATCCCTCCCAATATAACTTACTCTCTGCTTTTAAGTCTATCCAAAAAACACACAATATTTCAAAAGATGAGATAACCAGTGTGGGGTACAGACTACACTAAGCACACAATTTATGTATTTTCCTAATTTAATTTTTAAACTATTGTCAGGTTCTTCTTAATGCCTCTCACGTCGCTTTCTGCACGTTGAGAACGTACCAGGTTATATGAAAAGATTCCTTTCACTAACGTTTTTCACTCAGCTTTCCTTGCTGTATTTGATCAGCCTTCGGTTCTGTCAGCTTCAATCGGCATTTTGCACAATATATGTGCATACAGTTTTGTATGTTTGTTATAGCACTTGTCACTGTAAAATTTTGCTGATTTTATGATTAAATTAAAAACACACTAAACAACTTTACTTGTAAATTGAGTGCTGGACCAACTCATGCTAAATATTGCTGTTCTCTGTGGCTTGATGAGCTTCAGTCACTTTTTAAATCAAGATAAGTCTTTGCTTCTTACTTCAGGGCTATTTGATATTTCAAGACTTGACTTTTTTTTTTTTTTTTCCCAAACCCTAATAAATGTAGCCTGCTGGATGCCATTTTATTATGTTGTGAAAGTGTTAATTCTAAAATGTTAGAGGTTTATGTCTCTCTTTCAGAATTTGCTTTGCTTTGACTTAAGTGACAGTTTATTCAGCTGAAATCATCAGCAG